AGAGAGAGAGAGAGTGGTTGGGGTCGCGTCCGCCGGTCTCACCTGCAATATAGTTTGCGCTTGCGTATGGCGGAGGAATGAAGGAGAAACTGCCAGGTGCATTCAGTGTCATTAAATCATCCCCCTTTCTCCGCAACTCTCTCAACTAAGTTGTATTTTTCATGCAACGTTGAGTGCATGCGAAAACTAGTTTCCCATTCTAGTATGAACCTCCATCACTACACCGAGCCAGATCTCAGGGTCCCAGGCTCCAGTTCTGTGGGGGTCTCAGGACTTGTGCCTCCTGCCAGGGTCTGGGGGTCTGTCTCTCTTTGTAATGCGGGTCCCCCGGCTGTCCTCTGAGGTCGCACCGGACCGGCTGCGCTGGGCCTGCCGCAGAGCGGGCGGCGCGGCGAGTAGGCGGGCGCTAGGACCGCGGGGCGCGCGGACGGCGCGGCGCGGCGCTACCTTAAACCCGGCCCAATGCCGCTGCTGCGCCACTCAGCGCGCCGGCGGGGCTGCGCAGGACAGGCGCTCCGCCCGCCACCAGGCTGGAGCCGGCGCGGCAACACCTGTTCGCGGCCGCAGGGCGCACGCGAGCCCCGGACGCCGCTCCCTCGCTCGCCGCTCGCCGCCGGTGCTAAGCCAATGGATCTCTGCCGAGCCGCTGCACAACTCTGGACCCTAGCCTCGGACGCCTAAAGTTTTCTCCTTTTTGTTTTATTATTATTATTGATTTTTTTGGAGGGGGGATCCGGGAGGGGAGATTCTTCGCCGCCACCAACGTGAGATTTTTTTCTCCCCCTGGAAGGATTCCTGCTGATGTCTGCAGAGTCGGTTAGAGTAAAAACGGCGCATGCCTTCCTGGAGTCAGGACCCGTGGATTCTGACGTAGCCCGTGCATCTTAAAAACCCTGTAATAACGCCTAGGCATTGAAGTTGCTATGGTCATTCTGATCTGGAAACCAAATGGAGAAACTACGGATTTTCCCCCTTTTGACGGCCGGCTGGGATGAAGACCTTCCTGCTTGCTAGGAGCTGGGGCTCTGTCTGTAGAGATACATAGATATGTTTATCAGTATGTCAGTGTGTGAGTATAAAGCGCTGGTTTCTTAGATTGTTAGTGGTTTGACCTTGAACCTGTGCCAGTGAAACAGCAGATTACTTTTATTTATGCATTTCATGGATTGAAGAAAAGAACCTTTTTTCCCCTTTCTGCAACCGCAGTAAGGGAGGGGAGTTGGATATACCTCGCCGAATATCTCCCGGGTTGGCACCATCATTATTGTTTATTCCTGTGCTCCAACAGCCTAGCCTTCTGATGGCTCCCTTAGGTGAAGTTGGGAACTATTTCGGTGTGCAGGATGCGGTACCGTTTGGGAATGTGCCGGTGTTGCCGGTGGACAGCCCGGTCTTGTTAAGTGACCACCTGGGTCAGTCCGAAGCAGGGGGGCTTCCCCGGGGACCGGCAGTCACGGACTTGGATCATTTAAAGGGGATTCTCAGGCGGAGGCAGCTGTACTGCAGGACTGGATTTCACTTGGAAATCTTCCCCAATGGTACTATCCAGGGAACCAGGAAAGACCACAGCCGCTTCGGTAGGTGTACCATTAACCCTCTAGTGTCCGTGCCGTGACTTGAGATTATAACAACTAAGAAGGGGGTGTCCTGGCGGGGGTGCGGAAGGGGTCTCTCCTTTACTCTGTGTCTCTGTCTGTGTTTCTCCAGCTTAAAAAAATGAGCCTCGGGAATTGCAGATCTGCTGCTGGCACCGTCGCAAGTCTACATGAACCCTCCTCCACCCACCCCCCTTTTTTTAAGGAGGGCATGGCTTATAACACAAGTCCCTTGTTCCTTTGCATTAGATACCTGGGGAGATCGGGTTTAGGAAGTTTCTTTTGAATGGACTGATTCCACGAGTTTAAAGCTGTAATGATTAACTACTGAGAACTTAAAAATGCATTTTCCTGAAAGCTGTGGTTATCATCTTGTGCCCCAAACAAGTTTTTGCCCCTTCCCCTTTCCTCTAACAAGTATCCTGCTTGAATTGTAAATAAAGCATATAGGATTCCCACTGTGAGGGTCTGAGCCGCTTGGGCGAGGTTTCCGTAGGGATGAGGACCAAAGTCACATTTTAGACTTGGGAAGGGACTGGACGCTCTTTTGGGGCGCTTGTCCTACCAGCCGTCAAGTTGTTACTTATGCTCTGTAATTTTCGTAGCGTGCAGCCTGCGTGGGGCTCCTAGGTGGCTCTCTGGTGTGAGTGTGCGCGCGCGTGCAAAAGGTGCGAGCTAATTCTAAAGAGCATTCAATTCCGAGGATTTCACTTTCCGAGGAGGGTACTTGTGACTCAGCATTGAGGCTGCAGCCCCGAGGGTTGGTGACCGTCCCCTTTTATGCCTGTACACACGTGCCTCCTAGGCCACCCTGAGCTCAGCAGCACCAGGTCAGCCAGCACAGTCCCCGTGGGGGACTCTGGGATTTTGTTCCTTTCACAAAAAATAAAAAAATAAAATGAAAAGAGCCAGTTTGAGCAACCAGACTGTTGGAAAGAGTTAACTTCTGAGTGGACCCACCTGACAACATTTAAACTAGGTCGTAAAAAACAAAGTCCTGCGGTGATTTTCTCTTTCATGCTTTCGTGCCAGATGTTGACCACAGTCTAAACTATCTGTTTAGGTTCTCAGGGCTGTGGATGAGGCCAGAAGGCGAGGAGGAGTCAGGCCTGAGATGGGGTGGCCCAGCATTTTCTCCTTTGGCTCCCCACCGAGCCTCAGCTACAAACTGAACCTACTAGTGCAAATATTTCTGGCTTAAAAAAAAAAGGGGTGGGGGTTAGCTCTTGGCTTTGTAATTATTCAGTTGAAACATACCCACCCCCTGCCCCAAGTGAACACAGCTCCGGTAGTGGCACAGCGAAGACTAAACTTCAGTACAAGTGCTGCGCTGGGGCAGCTGTAGGGGCTGCCACCATGCCTAGCGTTCGTAACAGGACACTGGCGGTGGGCGCCGTGGGTGGGACAGCTAGAGTGTTCGGGTAGCGCCTGCAGCTCTGGCGTCGGGGCCGCGCTCATGGGGGCGAGCGGCGTGGGCTGGGGCCTCTGAGCTCTGGTGGTCGAGCTGGGTCCTCGCGCTCCTGGCCGGCAGGTGCCGGCTCCGCAGCCCCGGCCCGCGGCGCTCTCGGCGACCGCCCCGCCAGCTCCGCGCGGTCCTAGCGCGCTCCGTGTCCCTTTCTTTTTCCTTGGCTAGTGCGCCTTGCCGTACTGCGGAATTCCTGACTCTTGGCCCAGGGCTACCGGCGGCGGCTGCCACATTGATGGCCGCGTTTAGGGAATTAGGTTTTTTGGCCCAAGTTAATTCCCTTCGTTTCTCTTTGTGTATGTGGGTCCTGACAGCCGCCGCCCTGGCTGCGCGGTGGTTTTCGGTGTGGGAACCGCTGGAGGCGCGCGCCGCGGCGGGAGAGTTGGTGGCGGGGACTGAGGACAAGCTGGAGGTCGGACCCTGACCAACCCCCTTCCCATCCCGGACCCTTCTCCCTTTTTCAGAAGTGCACAGTCGGGGCTCGGAGAGTCGTTGGGCCTGGGAGGTGGGTCGGGCCCCGGCCAGGCAAGGCCAAGCCGCAGGGGAAGGGGTCGGCTGACAAAGGCGGGCGGAGGCGGGCGAGGGGCGGCGAGCTATTGTTAACTGCTTTCCCAGAGCCCAGCTTGCTGTTCGCGGCCGGCTTTCCAGCGCCGGGGGTGGGCCGCCCTTTAGGAGGGGGGAGCCCCGGGCGCGCGGCGGGGCTGCACCTGGCTGGGCAGGGCCAGGGCCAAGGGCAGGGCCAATTTTGTGAATTGGTGGAGCCTGGTCTGTGAGGGACCCTTGGAACCTCGGGTGCAGCACTACTGGGCCCGGCGTGGAGCGATTATGGGATGTGCCGGTGGGGCTCCTCCATCCCCAAGCTTTTTATTATTATTTTAATGCAGTCACCTTTAGGGTAGGACGTTTGCTGCACGCAGCCGAGTCATTAGAAATCCAGTAACTGCCACGGGGAGAACGAGGATGCAAGGAAGGGAAGGTGGGGACCGCGAGGGTGGGGAGAACCCGAAAGGCGCGCTCTGGGGTCAGCCGACAAGGACTCCTGGTACAGCGGCTTAATAAAGACCACAAAACAACAACAACAACAACAAAAACAACGAGACCTCGTCACTCCTCAACCCCTAATCCTGGAGGTTGGAGAAAGGTGTCGCCAAGGAAGTGACATCTCTACTGCTTAGACTCGCTTGGCACTGTTGGCCGGGTCGGTAGGGGCAGTGTGGGTTGGAGGGAGGGAAGAGGAGGCCCGGCTAGGGTCGGCGGTAGGGGACGCGGAGCCCAGAGCTCGAAGGTGGGCCGGGAGCCCGCGGCGGGGGAAGGGCGCGCCTGGAGCTCTGCGGTGCTACTATCCCTGGCTCGGATGTGGCTGAGTGGGTGGCTGTGCGCAGTGGGGGTGGGGAAGGAAGGTTATTTAAGTCTTTCATCTGGCTGCAGTGAGAACGGCCCCCGGAGTGACAGCAGTGCCGCGGTCTCCCGCTGCTACCGCTGCGGCAGGTCCCAATATTAGCAACCTCTGCAGCTCCGTGCGCGCGCCGGGCGCTTCCTGCCCTCGCTGCGCAGCCCCTCCCGGAAAGAGCCGGCAGCGCTAGGACCCGGCGCGCGCGCGAGCCTGAAGACAGGCGGACCCCGGGGCTGCGGCAGCGCATCACACCTGACGTCCCCGCTCCTAGCGGCCACCTCACCTCTGTCCCCCTCCCGGTTTTCTCCCCTCTGGGGACAACGTCCTCACCTTCAGTTTCTCCTCCCAGTCTCTGGGAAAGAGTAACTGTGGGGTAGGGATGGGCTGAGTTTACACCTTGATAATCACAGAAGGTGCATTTTCCACCTAAAATGAACCGGCAGGAGGAAACGTGCTGGAAAAGTGACCCCCACTGCCACCCCCACCCCCACCCCCATGCAGCCGCAAGTGACTGCGGCTGAGGGCGAGCCTGGCAGTGACACAGCAGTGGCAGTGCAGGGAATGTGGGGGCGGGGATCTTACTGTAGTCCCAGCAGGAGCTGCCACCCTGACAACTTAGTTGGGACTTTGAGGGAGCCCAGTGTTTTTCCCTTTGGGGGCGGTGGTGCGGAGAAAAGGAACTGGGGATTGTGTGTCTGGGGTACAGGCTGGGGGAGTGAGACATTTCTTTTCGTATGTTTTTTTCTCTTTTAAACAGTAGCTAGACAGAAAAAGGTGAACGAACATCAATTGAGGAAATGGTCATGTACAAGAAAAAAGTCGGCTTTGGGCCTGATCGGCTATTTCTCTTGCACAGGGGAGCCTGGGCAGTTGACCCTGGCCTTGGCAGAAAGATGGCCTCCTTCTTGGGCTGTGCCTCTTGTCCTAGAGTGGTGGCCCTGCAAGGACCCCAGATGAGCACTGGGGTTGCAGGTTCAAAGGGGCCAGGTGTCAGGTGAAAGTTGTAGTATAGGGGAGAAACATGATTTTAAAAAAAGTTTAAAACAATCTTATTTGCAGGGTTTTGAGCTTCAGGAAACTCTGTGTATCTGGCTCTTGGGCGTTTCACTAAGGGAATGGCTGCCTATTTAAAGAGCTGTTTGCAGGACTGGTCCAGATTCTTGCAAAATCGGTGGTGTGCCCCGGCACTGGGCCAGCTTTGCTTTAATGGTCCGTTAGAACAGAACTCTGGGCCTGACCACTTATACCTAGTGAGTCTGCAGCAAGGTGAAGGTTTGGTGTGGTCCTTTTCCTGATGTGGTCTCAGGAACTGACCTGGCTTCCTGTGGACCCCATCAGACCTCTGGGGCCCATTGGAAAATGTTGGCTGCTGTGGAAGGGAATTGCCAAATGACACTAGGCACTGACCCGGTGCTTCCCAGGTCACCCCATCAGTACCCATTACTGAGCCTGTCTGAACTGAGGATGTCTAGGGTGTTTGCCTAAGAGAAGAGATGAGCCACCATGGTATACATGTGATGGCCACAGTTTTAATTTTAGGCACAATCCTACCATTCCCTCCCACCCCCTTCTTTCTTCTTTCCCTTCCTCTTTCCTTTATCCCCTTCCTCTCCTGTTGGTCATTAAACATTTAAATGTTTCCACACAAGAAGCCTTCTCCTGGGCTCTTATTGAGCCCTCTGTGTTGCACACTTGTGTAAACAGATAACATGTGGAGTGGGCTGTACTCAAATGAGCACAGTTGGAAGCACGTGCTTGGCTCTGGCTCATGCCCAATGAGTTGACCTGGCTGAGGTTATAGAGTTCACTGGGGACAAGATGGTACTAGGAATGGTAAGGATTCCAGTCTGGGCAGGAGTGTGTGTGTGTGTGTGTGTGTGTGTGTGTGTGTGTGTGTGTGTGTAGATCTTGTTGCCATGTCTTTCTGACCTAAAGGAATGGCTGTGACTCAGACATTTGGGTGTCCCACTTGCCCTCAGATCACTGAGGTCACCTCATGAAAAGCTGGGTGGTTCTTTGAGGTCTATGCTTTTCAAGGAGCTGTAGAGATATGGATGGTATTTGAGGTGATGACATCTTTTCACCTGGGGTCACTAGAAAGGAAGTTCCTTCTCCCATGGCGAGCCCCTCGGAGGTTTGTCTCATGTCCTGTCTCTTTCAGGAAGCCCCCTCTGACTCCACTTCCCAATCCCACCTTGGGACACTGACGACCTCCTAAACAGCTCCCTCTCACTGCATTCACCACATTATCATATTTACCTGTTTATTCATCCTTCCTCCCACTGGATGGGCAGGGCTTTGAGAGTACAGGGCCTAGGCTATACGTTATTCATCTTTATATATGCAACACATGCCATGGTGCTTGGGTTAGAATAGTCAGGCAATAATCATTTGTTGACTGAAAAGTCCATGCAATGAATTAGTTATCTTGTTGATTCCAGAAAAAAAGCAAGTTAGATATCTTAATACTTTGGTTTCCAAAGTATATAGTAATAACTTCGGAACTTAAGTCCTTTGGCAGAAGAAGCTGTGTGCTATGTACTCATAAATAATTCGGGTAAATAGTCCACAGACACAGGAGGTGTGTGCCTTTCCAAGTCCTGCACGAGGACACAGGCAGTCCCAGTGGCTTACCTGTTCTTCCTTCCCTCTGCTGCTCCTAGTTGTGCCTACGGGGTCTATGGGGTCCCATCTAAGCAACATCTTCTCATCTTTAGTCATGCAATAATGATATCAAAATGGCACAGAAATCCTGGATACGTGACAAAAAGTAATACTGATGTTAAGATGTGTATAATAGATGAGATAGGCTTTGGAGTCTGCTTGGGGGAAACTAACATCCTTAAATCTCTGTGTCCCCATTTATGAACTGGAGATTAAAATACATTAATACCTGGGGTTGTTCTGAGGATTGCACAAGAAGAAGCCCCTCTGGACACAGTTAAACACCCAAGTGTGCCTGCTACTAGACTGCCATTGTTCTTGATGCTCAGCGACCAGTGGTCACATGGTTCTGTGAAGTCACAGACACCATTCCTTGTTGGGCCTGATGGTCAACACTGGCTGATACTCATCATTAGTTCTCAGAGCTGCCTCATGTCTACAGAAAACAGAAGGGTCATCCAACACCGTCTCAGAAGATTCGAGTATCTCTTAGTCCTTGTGATTAAGCCTCTCACTATTGACATGGTTTACCTATTGCTCAGATCTTGAAGGGGGCAGAATGCTTCCTGTCTTTCATTTTGTGACAATTGGACATTAATGAATTCCTGACACTAATTTCGGGATAACTCTGACCTGTACTGATTGTGGTGTGCTTTCAGGTAGCTAAGAAGAGATTCACATGTATGTGACACCTAATGGTAATTAACTGTACAATATTAATTATTTTCAATCCTAAGAGTAAGGAATAGTACAATGAAATAAACTGACTGAATCAATAAGGGTGAAATGAGTCTCATGGACATATTACCTTTCCATTTGCTTTGTAAGGTAGGAAAGGCTAGTAATAAACTTGGTTATTTTTTATGTATCTTCCATTATAGGTTATCAGATCCAAAATGTAATTTGTAGCTTTTCTTTATATTTTTCTGAACAGTAGTTCACATTCTATAAAAATAAATAGTTTTTCATGTCCAGTAGATATTCTGTGAACTGTAAACACAAGGTATTTGTTGCATTTTGTACTTATAAAAAACAATTAGGAATACTCCCTTTAAAAGAAATATCTTTTCTTTTTCATATCACCTTGGAACCCTCTGCTTTAGTATATTTATGTAGTTCATGTCTTTTTTAATTTTTAAATTAAATCTATTGGGGTAACTTTGGTTAATAACATTATGTAAGTTTCAGGTGTACAATTATAAACCACATCATCTGTATATCGCATCGTGTGCTCACCACTCAGAGTCAGTTCTCCTTCTATCACCATGTGCTTGTCATGTCTTCTTTTCAGTCTATTTTGTGAGAGTTGCAAAATGAATTGTTTAAAAATCCATGTAAGTGCTTCTTTATTAGTTACATGAGACTGACTATAGCCTGTTAGCCTTAGTTTTCTTCTCAACTAAAATGTAAGTAATTTTTTCAATATTTGAAGATTAAAAAAAAAAGAACTCATTATTTAGAATGCATTAGCTCAAGGTCTACAAAAAAGCCTGGCAATTTATAACAAAATTGAGAAAGTGGCTCATTGCAAGTAATATTAGCATTGTCCCAAATATCCTTCTGGGCAATCATTTTAGGAGGACAATATAGTTAGAGAAATTGAAGCTGCTATTGTATGGCTATAAAATTCTGGATTTATGCCCAGTGTAGGTGTTGTTATTCTTAGTGAGGTAAGCAAGCAGAAAGGAGGAAGTAAAAGATCATTTTGTTGACTTGTTTTGGGGATATAGTATTCTGTGACTATTTTAAATCAAGAGCTGTTTTGGAACCAGAATTGTTTTCCAGAATATTGTGTTATTGTAATTGCTTAACCGACTGTGTGAGGCTTAGATAAGAACAGCAAAAAGTCAATACTTGGTTTAAGTAGAAACATTTGGGATGTGTACAGGCTACTTTAGTTTTCCAGATGGAGCGCAATAAAGTTACACAGTAGAGAGCTGGATAGCTTTCTTTTTTTTTTCTTTTTGTTAAAGATTTTTTTATTTTATTATTTTTTTTTATTGGGGAATTGGGGTGATGGGAACTGTGCTGGGGAATTGGGGAAAGGGGAACAGACAAGTTGCTGTCGTTTTGTTCTTCAGTCTAGTTGTGGAGGACGTTGCTTCCCTGGCCCAAGTTGGCACCATCATTGCGCTTTTCCCACGCGAGGCAGATCAGTTGCCGGCTTCTGGATGGCCGCTCACGCTGGCTGCTGGCTACACACGGCAGCCCATGGCAACCCACTGCCACAGGGACTGCAGCCTCTGCCTTCGCCGGCGACTCACGGCAGCCCAGCTCTAGGTGGAGCTGTTGTTCAGCATCTTAGCTGTAGAGGGCAGTGTCACTGGCCCTCACATGTGGGATCCGAACCAGGGCCCTCCAGCGTCCCAAGCGAGCTCCTAACCATTGCGCCACTCGGCCGGCCCGATAGCTTTCTGTATAAACCAACCAAGTCTTTCATTAGCACCTCATACTCTTATTTTGAAGGACATAAGATCATTCTCTGAACAAAATTTTTTTCCAATCTATAACGCAAATACTTAATTTCACATTTCTAAACTGGAAGTACAGCTGGAAGTTTTTCTTTTAAATTATACTGTCTTAGGTTAATCAGAATATGTGCACTAGTTTATCTGTCATATCACTTGTCAGCATATCTATGTAAATACTAGCTTTCTTATTTTTGAAATGTTTATGTGTCATGTTAATAAGTATTTTTTTCCATTATTATAAAAAAATCAATTATTTTGGGCAGTGGTTTTAAGAAATGACACTTCCTCAATGAGTGTGCAATTATCTAAGTTGGGAGCTGGGCTCAATCCTCCCAGGAAGGCCTGGTGATGCTGAGACGTCTCCTAAGGCCATCTCTGTGCTCTGATCATTCTCTGTCTCTGCCCTTTGTCTCCTAGGCATTCTGGAATTTATCAGTATAGCCGTGGGCCTGGTTAGCATCCGAGGTGTGGACAGCGGACTCTACCTGGGGATGAATGAGAAGGGGGAGCTGTATGGATCGGTAAGTACTATTTCTACACCTGTGTCTCCCATTTGGGCCCAACTGCTTTTTCTCCAGGTTATAAATATCTGGAGATGAAACCCAGTCTGTTTGGAAGGCGAAATGTGACTTTTTGCTTTTTGAGGCAAATTCTTTCATTTTTATTAGTAGATATCAGCCCCGGATCTTCACTAGACCAAAGTTTCTAAGAAAATGCTTTATTCATACGCCAAACCATTTTCATTATCCAGTACATAAAAAATTCACAAGTGTGAAAAGTCCCATCTTTTTGTATTAAAAGGGAGTTATTTTTGAAATGAGTTGAAATTATCTTCTCCCAAGCTTTGTTAAGCATTGTAATTAAAACTAGAAATAGACTATGCAGGGAGCAGAAACCCTTTCTCTGAGCTACATATGATTTTCATTATGTAGAGAGAGAAGAGAGATGGAAATTATTGTTAGATATTCTTGTATGTGAATAAGAATATAAAAATATTGTAATTATTTGTGAGTATTATGAGTTTCTTTTTTTCCCTAACTTCCCGTCTCTACTGGTTGGAAACTGCTTGGGGGGCGGGTGGCAGTGACGTGTTCATGGTGCTGACCCAGTGCCAGGCACCTTGTAGCTGCTCAGGGACAGACAGGAAGCCCCGGCTTCTGCGTTGAGGAGGGGATCGACTTTACATCTTTGTGTCTCCAGACTCCTGCCAGCTCAGTTTCTAAAGCACACTGCATGGTCCACAGTAGACACTTAATACATTTTTGCTAAGCATATGAGTATGAATAATAGTTGACTAATTACTCTACACTAACTCGAGTTTTCAGCAAAAGACTTGTAGTGAAATCAATCTTTAGTTTTTCATTCCCATTGGTGGTCACATGGGAATTTAACCCACATTCTCTGCAGTATGAGAACTTTGATTAGAATCTACAAAAAGTTGAAAATTAAAAGAAGCTCAGAGTGGGAGAAGTTCTGGAGTCCTCAGTCCACAGGAATGAAGGGCATATTCACGTAGGAGCAGGAGAAAAATTTCCTAGATATGCCCCTTTCCTATCCATATATGAGAGTGTGTGTGCGTGTGTGTGTGTGTACAAGGGTTGGAGGTAGTATGAAATTTTTACTCAAAACTCCAGATGACTGTAAATTGTGGCCTATGTACAATTTAAATATGCTACACACCATTTTTAATGACACATGACACAAGGATGGTTTTTCTGCATTGGTAAAACTTGAATCTATGGATAGATAGGTTGATTTTGTTAGATAGTTAAGCCTTTTTTAAAAAGTGCTTCCCTCAGAGAGTATATTATTTTAAAATATGTTTTTAAGCCTAGGATTGAGTTTAGCTGTTTGAACACAGTTCTTGGTTTTGATAAAGTTATTTATTTCCTAAATTATTTTTTTTGTCAACACTTTAACTGCAATGGCACAAGATGTAAGAAAGTTGTTCAATTTTTAAACACAAAGTGGTGTTCTCCTTTTGTCTCTGCCTCAGTTTTTTTTTTTTACTTTTATGTATGTAATGTGGATTTAAATTGGGTCACAGCTGAACTCAATAAAATGCTTTTTGTGTGTAGGATACAGTTTGACTTCGAGTGGGTGGAAGGGACTATGATTTATCACAATATGGTCTCCAAATTCTTGCTCATATACTACCACCAAAAAAATGTTTTTGAGTTTGGATTTCAGCATCATTGCATATTAAATTATTTTTAAAATGTAAATATAAAATATAGTTCATATGTGTTATTTTATTTTATAAAACATGTAATAAGGTAAACATTTGTAAAGGGTACCGTGACTGAGTAAACACAAACAGTACTGTCTGTTCCCCGCTCCGCAGACCACCTTGCACATCCCTCCAGAGTACTCAGTCCTGTAGAGAGATGACCCATGTTTCAGATGAAATGACCACTTGATAGCCCTGGGGTTTGCTGAGTGATGAGGAGCAGGATGGGACTTTGTGTTCAGCACAGGGGCCTACTGTTGGTTGTCCCAGGTCAGCCTTGTCTGTCCCTCTGGATTCTTTCAGTGGCCTCCTTACCTGTCTCACCTCTCATCCAGCTGCCTCTGGCCTGTGTGGCTTCATCTGTAGCACAGGCTGGGTACAGAGTGAGGGCTCATGCCCTCAGTGAATACCAGTGACAGCACTGCCTGAAAAGGTGACCAGGGCAGGAAGTTGGAGAACCATATCGTGGCAGGTTTTCTGTGACCCATTTTCTGTGACTCCCAACTGCCTACTTGAGGAGGGTGGGGCTAGGAGTGGACTTTTTGTTCCATGGCCACACAGTGACATGGTCACATGGCCACACTGTCACATGGCCGCGTGGTCACATGGCCACATGGTCACACAGGTAGCTGACAGTCCCAATCAGTGAATGCCAACTAGGCAAAGGGGACAATCTGAGAAAAGGCAGAAACAGCTCTTCTTCCTTTTGTGCTTGAGAAGCGCGTACCTTCTCACCTGTGTTCTCAGGCTTGGACACTGCTTGGAGGAAAGTGTGACAAGGAACACTCCTTTTCCAGACTCTGATTTCCTTTGTGGAAAAGTGTCCAACACAGCGTCTGTGTGACCCTGCTTCTCCCATCTCCAGTCCACCCTCCACACTCAGGAGAGAAGTACCTTCCAACCCTCAGCTCAGACCCCTCCCACACTTGCCTTTGAAGGTCAGTGTCCCCATGCTTAGTGCAACCCTCAGTACTGTCACAGAGCACTGCCAGTCCATCTCTTGTACTCCCTCCCCATGTAATTTGAGCCATCTCGCTGCTATTCTGTCTGGGTGGTATGCGGTCAAGTTAGCCCCTCTTGTGGCATGCCTTTCTCCTGCCTTCTCTGCTGGAGGAAGCAGCATTCTTTCTTTAAGATTCAATAAAGATATTGCCTCTTCTGCAAAGCCCTCACCACACCTCTAAGTCGAACCCCAGTTATTCTGGTTGAGCCTTTCTGATGCTTTCCTCTGGGCCCCTGTCATACTTTGTGTTTCCATAATCACACAAGCAACAGTTTTGTTTCTAGTGAAGTTAATTGTAATTCTGTGTTCCCTAATGTATCAAAAGGGCATGGGCCATGTGTTTCTTTTCTTTTTTTAAGATTATATTGGGGAATTGGGGGAGGGGAACAGCATTGGGGAATCGGGGAAGGGGAACAGATACGTTGCTGTCCTTTTGTTCTTCAGTCTAGTTGTGGAGGACGTCGCTTCACTGGCCCATGTTGGTATTATCATTGCACTCTTCCTGGGTGGGGCAGATGGGTCGCCGGCCATTGGTCAGCTGCTCACAGTGGCTCTTCGCAGCTCACGCCAACTGCCGGGCAGCTCACGGTAGCTTACGGGAGCCCACTGCAGCTCCACTGCCGTTGCCGGTGACTCATGGCTGCCCAGCTCCAGGTCAAGCTGTTGTTAACCATCTTAGCTGTAGAAGGCGCAGTGTCACTGGTCCTCATGTGGGATCCGAACCGGGGCCCTGCTGCTCAGAGCTGGCGTCCCAAGCCAACTCTTAACCAATGCGCCACTCGGCTGGCCCTCTTTTTTTTTTTTTTTAAAGATTTGTATTAAAATATAGCTAACATACAATATTATATTTGATTCAGGTTTACACCATAGTTATTCAACATTTCCTAAAGAAGTGATCACCATGATAAGTCCAACAACCATCTGACACAATACCATGCTATCACAGTATTATTGACTATATTCCCGATGCTGTACATTACACCCCATGATTCACTTGTTTTATGCCTGGAAATTTGGACTTCTTATTCTCCTTCACCTTTACCCCTTTTTGAATTTTTCAGTTACAATTGACATTGAACATTATTCTATATTAATTTCAGGTGTTCAGCATAGTGGTTAGACATTTGTTTAATCTAAGAAGTGATTCCCTTGACTAGTCTAGTACCTTCCTGGCACTATACATAGTTATTACCATATTATTGACTATAATTCCTACGCTCTACTTTACATCCCCATGACTATTTTGTAACTACCAATTTGTATTTTTTAATCCCTTTACCTTTTTCACCCTGTTCCCCAACCCCCTCCCATCTATCATCTCAATAAAACTAATACCCATCTCACACCATAATTATTACAATATTATTGACTATATCCCTTATGCTATACCCTGCATCCCATGACTACTGTGTACAACCAATTTTTACTTAATCCCTTCCCCTTTTCACCTGCCCCCTCAACCTCCCTCCCATCTGGTAACCATCAAAATGTTCTCTGTATCTATGAGTTTGTTTCTGTTTTGTTTGTTTATTTTGTTCTTTAGATTCCACAGATAAGTGAAATCACATTGCATCTGTCTTTATCTGTCTGACACTTCACTCAGCACAATACCCTCCAGGTCCATCCATGCCGCTGCAGATGGCAAGAACCCATTCCCTTCCATGGCTGAGCGATTCTCCTTTGTATATATGTACCACCTCCTCTTTATCCATTCATCCATTGACAGACACCCAGGCTGCCTCCACATCTTGGCCATTGTAAACAATGCTGCAATGAACATGTGGATGCACACATTCCCTTGAAATAGTATTTTGGGTTTCTTCAGAAGAATACCCAGAAATGGGATTACTGGGTCTTCTTTGTCTCTTGCTATAGACTAAAGTCTTATTTTGTCTGGTGTAAATATTGCTACCCCAGCTTTTTTTTCATTTCCATTTTCATGAAACTTTTTCCATCCTTTTACTTTTAGTCTATGTGTGTCTTTCCATCTGAAGTGAGCCTCTTGTAGGCAGCATATGTAAGGGTCTTGTTTTCTTATCCATTCAGCCCCCCTATGTCCTTTGATTGGAGGATTTAATCCATTTAAGGTAATTGTTGATACGTAGTTATTGCTATTTTGTTATTTATATTTTTTATTTATTTTTTATCCTCTTAAAGAAGTCCCTCTAAGATTCCTTGTAACACTGGTTTGGTGGTGATGAAATCCTTTAGCTTTTTCTTGTTTGGGAAACTATCTGTCCTTTGATTCTAAATGATAGCTTTGCTGGGTAGAGTAATCTTGGTTGTAG